AAATGGCTCCAGGCTTTCATGCGAGCCATGCAGAATGAGGGTATCACCCTCAAGCATGCTGGTGTCGCCTACAAGGATCTCAACGTTTCTGGTACTGGCGCTGCTTTGCAGCTGCAACAGACCGTTGGTGACTTCCTTCAAGCACCTCTCAGAATCGGCGAGCACATTAGCTTCGGAAAGAAGGAGCCTAAAAGGATTCTCAACAGCTTCGATGGCCTGCTCAAGAGCGGCGAGCTTTTGATCGTTCTTGGTCGCCCTGGTTCTGGATGCAGTACACTCCTGAAGACGATGACTGGTGAACTCCAGGGTCTGAGCATTGGAGACGAGTCGGTCATCCACTACAACGGCATTCCACAAAAGAAGATGATGAAGGAGTTTAAGGGAGAAACCGTTTACAATCAGGAGGTTCGTTCCCACGCCCCAATGTTTTGTTTGATATTCACTAACAACGTTCGACACAGGTTGACAAACATTTCCCCCATCTTACCGTCGGTCAAACACTCGAATTTGCCGGCGCAGTTCGCACACCATCCAACAGACCCTTGGGTCTTAGTCGCGAGGAGGCTCACAAGAGAGGAGCCCAGGTTGTTATGGCAGTCTGTGGTCTCAGCCACACCTACAACACCAAGGTCGGAAACGACTTCGTTCGTGGCGTCTCTGGCGGAGAGAGAAAGCGTGTCTCCATCGCTGAGATGATGCTTGCTGGCTCTCCCATGTGCGCATGGGATAACAGTACTCGTGGCTTGGATTCCGCGACCGCTCTGAAGTTCGTTCAGTCGCTGCGCCTTGCCTCCGACTTCACCGGCAGTGCCAACGCTGTTGCCATCTACCAAGCCAGTCAGGCCATCTATGACCTCTTCGATAAGGCTGTCGTTCTTTACGAAGGTCGCCAGATCTTCTTCGGCCCTGCCACTGCTGCTAAGTCCTACTTCGAGCGCATGGGTTGGGAATGCCCCCAGCGTCAGACCACAGGAGACTTCTTGACATCGGTCACCAACCCCATCGAGCGCAAGGCTCGTCCGGGCATGGAGAACCAGGTTCCCAGAACCCCCGAGGACTTTGAGGCATACTGGCGTGCATCTCCCGAGTACCAAGCTCTCCGCCAGGAGATCGAGCAGCACACCGACGAGAACCCGATTGATCCCCACGGTCATGCTCTCACTGAGCTTCGCCAGCAGAAGAACGACAGACAGGCGAAGCATGTCCGCCCCAAGTCTCCTTATCTCATCAGTTTAGCGATGCAAGTGCGACTTACCACGAAGCGCGCTTACCAGCGTATTTGGAACGATATCTCGGCTACAGCTACAGCGGCTGTTCTCAACATCATCTTGGCTCTCATCATCGGTTCGGTCTTCTACGGCACTCCTGACGCTACTTCAGGTTTCTACTCCAAGGGTTCGGTCTTGTTCCAGGCTATTCTCATGAACGCTCTCACTGCTATTTCCGAAATCAACAGTTTATACGATCAGCGGCCCATTGTCGAAAAGCATGCTTCCTACGCCTTCTATCATCCATCAGCTGAAGCCATCGCCGGTATCGTCGCAGATATCCCGATCAAGTTCGTCACGGCAACCTGTTTCAACCTCATCTTGTACTTCCTCGCTGGTCTTCGTCGGGAACCCGGTCAATTCTTCCTGTACTTCTTGATCACCTATATCTCCACCTTCGTCATGAGCGCCGTCTTCAGAACTATGGCAGCCATCACTAAGACTATTTCTCAGGCTATGATGTTGGCTGGTGTGCTTGTCTTGGCTCTTGTCATCTACACTGGTTTTGTCATCAGAGTTCCCCAGATGGTTGACTGGTTTGGTTGGATTCGCTGGATCAACCCCATCTTCTACGCCTTCGAGATTCTCATCGCCAACGAGTTCCACGGCCGCGAGTTCGTCTGCTCCGAGATTATCCCCGCATACACACCTCTGATTGGCGACTCTTGGATCTGCTCGGCTGTCGGCGCTGTCGCTGGCCAGCGCACCGTTAGTGGCGATGCTTTCATCGAGACCAACTACCAGTACTACTACTCCCACGTCTGGCGCAACTTTGGCATCTTGCTGGCTTTCCTCTTCTTCTTCATGATCATCTACTTCGTCGCTACTGAGCTCAACTCCTCCACCACCAGCGCCGCCGAGGTTCTCGTCTTCCAGCGTGGCCGCGTCCCTGCTCATCTTCAGGATGGCGTCAACCGCAGCGTCACCAACGAGGAGATGGCTGTTCCCAAGGACCAGGAGACTGAGGCCAACGTCAACTCAATCCCGCCCCAGAAGGATATTTTCACTTGGAAAGACGTCGTCTACGATATTGAGATCAAGGGTGAACCCCGTCGTCTGCTTGACCACGTCGATGGCTGGGTGAAGCCCGGAACTCTCACTGCCCTCATGGGTGTCTCCGGCGCCGGAAAGACGACTCTTCTCGATGTCTTGGCTCAGCGAACTACCATGGGTGTCATCACTGGCGACATGTTTGTCAACGGCAAGCCTCTTGACGCCAGCTTCCAACGTAAGACTGGCTACGTTCAGCAGCAAGGTATGCGGCTTCTCCTTCTTAACATTGTTTGAACATTCAACTAACATTATCCAGATCTCCACTTGGCTACCGCCACCGTCCGCGAGAGCTTGCGCTTCAGCGCCATGCTTCGCCAGCCCAAGACTGTTTCCAAGGAGGAGAAGTTCGCTTTCGTCGAGGAGGTTATTGACATGCTCAACATGCGCGACTTTGCCGACGCCGTCGTTGGTGTTCCCGGCGAGGGCTTGAACGTCGAACAGCGCAAGCTTCTTACCATCGGTGTCGAATTGGCAGCTAAGCCTAAGCTTCTTCTCTTCCTTGATGAGCCTACCAGTGGTCTCGACTCCCAGAGCTCCTGGGCCATCTGCGCTTTCCTCCGCAAGCTGGCCGATGCCGGTCAAGCCGTTCTCTGCACCGTTCATCAGCCCAGCGCCATCCTCTTCCAGCAATTCGACCGCCTGCTCTTCCTCGCCCGCGGCGGTAAGACTGTCTACTTTGGTGATATCGGCGACAACTCCCGCACCCTTCTCAACTACTTCGAGGGCCACGGCGCTCGCCGATGCGGTGATGAGGAGAACCCCGCTGAGTACATGCTCGAGATTGTCAACAACGGTACCAACTCCAGGGGCGAAGACTGGCACAGCGTCTGGAAATCTAGCAATGAACGCCACGGCGTCGAGGCTGAGATCGAGAGAATCCACCTCGAGAAGCAGCACGAGGAGGTCGCTGGTAGCGAAGATGCTGGTGCCCACTCTGAGTTTGCCATGCCCTTCAGCACCCAGCTCATGGAGGTCACCGGTCGTGTCTTCCAGCAGTACTGGCGCATGCCCAACTACGTCTTCGCCAAGTTCTTCCTCGGTATCGCTGCAGGTCTCTTCATTGGTTTCTCCTTCTGGAAGGCCGATGGTACCATGGCCGGCATGCAAAACGTTGTCTTTGGTGTCTTCATGGTCATCACCATCTTCTCCACCATCGTGCAGCAGATCCAGCCTCACTTCGTCACACAGCGTGCCCTCTACGAGGTCCGCGAACGCCCCAGCAAGGCTTACTCTTGGAAGGCATTCATGTTCGCCAACATCATTGTCGAAATCCCCTACCAAATCGTCACCGGCATCCTCATCTGGGCTTGCTTCTACTACCCTATCATCGGCATCCAGGGCTCCGTCCGCCAGGTCTTGGTCATGCTCTACGCCATCCAGCTCCTGATCTATGCGTCCTCCTTCGCCCACATGACCATCGCTGCCTTCCCCGATGCCCAGACCGCCTCAGGTGTGGTTACTCTCTTGGTCCTCATGAGTTTGACCTTCTGCGGTGTCTTGCAGTCCCCGACTGCCCTCCCTGGCTTCTGGATCTTCATGTACCGCGTGTCCCCCTTCACCTACTGGGTTGCTGGCATCGTGGGTACCCAACTGTCCGGCCGACCCGTCACTTGTTCCGCCACCGAGACTTCTGTCTTCAACCCGCCTGCCAACCTGACATGCGGCGAGTACCTGGCGGATTACCTAAAGCTCGCCCCCGGCCAGCTCCAGAACCCCGAGGCTACGGAGGCTTGCCGGTACTGCTCTCTCAGCAATGCCGATCAGTACCTGGCCGGCAGCAACATCTTCTATGATGAGCGCTGGCGCAACTTCGGTATCGTCTGGGCTTTCATTTTCTTCAACATCTTCATTGCTGTTATCTCTTACTATCTCGTCCGCGTCAAGAAGTGGAACTCCGGCTCGTCCAAGCCCAAGAAGGAGTCCAAGGGAAAGGAGACGGCGGCCCAATAAGTTAATGGCCTCAACCATTACAGTTTCATGTTTCATGGGAAAATCATACCAATATCTTAATATGTCATGTTTCATATAGCGAGCGTTGCTTTGGATATCCTCAACGAAATTAGTAGATTCACAGACTCAATATCCTAAACCAAAAAGTCCACAAAGAGTTTCTTCACGTGATAACCTCCTCTGCAAACCTAGCAAAGTTTTCGAATCCTCTCATTTGACTTTCGTGGAAACGAGTTCTCGGTGAAGCCTCGGACAGAGTAGACGTCAGATTACCACCAAGCGACCAAACATTGAATAAATAGATAAGAGCGCCTAGACATCTTCTGTTTCATTGAGCGCCGCAGATGGATGGGCTGCATTGACAAAGCGAATGCTCGTCACAGCACAGTCTGTCTCCCGCAACATTTAACAACTGGCAGCTTCTTGCTCATCTTCACATTCCACCCGTTGACCGTCTTCTACTCACTACAACATCCAGACACGACGAAGGCTACACATACAGGCCGAACCCACTGAGCCAATGGCGTGGCGTGGCTCAAGCGATCCCTAGGCAACAAAGAAATCTTGAGACATTGTGTTGGGGTCCGTAGCGCGTGCTGTTGCTGCCTGATTATGCACGAAGGTGTCCAACAAGATCAAGAAGCCTCAACTTCAACATTGAAGACTCACGTCAGCTGTTTTACAAGGCATTAGTAACAAACACTCAAAAACGTCACCAATTATCTCAGAATGTCTTTCTCTCACACTGGCGATGCTCCGCCACCTCTGCCCCGGCCGCTTGTCGCAAAGGCTCGAACTCCGGCTCCGGCCCTACCGCCGCCAACCGTGCCCCCGACAGGATCCCCTGGAGCTTTCTTGGTCGAATTACTGATCTTCAATGGCTCGCCATTCAAAGATCACTGGGCGTACTTTGTACGCTCTCGCGCCGATGATGATATCGGTGTCAAGATCCACGCGACCGGTGATGTGCGTAATGGCTTCAAATTCGAGGTCAAACGCAGTCATGACCTCACAAACACCTCAGATATCCCTACAAAAAGAGTTTCGCTGCAGTGGGTTGATGCTCAGCACTTTAAAGAAGACGCGATGCTCAACTGGGGAGTGGAAGAGATTGATGAGAGGCCTGTCTGCGGTTTTGAGGCTAGTGCGTACAAAGCGAAGGCACCTGGGAAGACTTTGAATGCAGTTGAAGACAAGGTGAGGCTTTCGCTTGACTTCTCCAAATAGCTGCAATACCTCTGAACAGACCACTTCATGCGTGTATGATTGCCTAGTAGGCAGGTCCTCAGAGGTGCTTTTTTGCAAACATCTGTTTCTGCAATGCCTTCGGAATACTTGACTAACAGAGATGCAAAGGATTCATCTGGCAAAAAGGTCATCCTCAAGGACTGCCAAACATGGTTGGTGGAGGCAGCGGGCTACCTTGTTGAAGATCGTATGTTCAGTCCTGAAGTCTCTATTTACCTGCACGCGATTAAGCAGTGAGTCTTAGGTGACCTCTCGAGGTTCCCAGATTTAGAGGTATTCAAGCTTTCTTTCAGCTCCGAGGTCACTGACTCAGACAAGACCCGACTCTGACTTTGAGTGTGGGAAACAAGGTCGGACTTAAGTTCACAGAGCAGCGAGCTTAAGTCCATGTCAGCTTGCAGACCGGGTTTAACAGATATAAGAATGCAGACTCCACGGACTTTCGCGTTTTCGCGACATTAGTAGATCAAATTCGAAAGTCAAGTTACTCGATCGTATACTTTAGCATTTGTTTCTCCCCCAGGTGCACCCGTAGCAGCTAGTCATATATAGGATCTCTCATTCTCTAATTAGAAGAAGCTTTGAATACATTTCACTCGATTTTCATAAGCCCATTATCCCGAGACTGAGCCTCAAGTTCGATTCCTAGTACCATCATGAAAGCCCTGACTTTAACACCAAAGAAGCATTCAGTTGCTGTACAAGATATCCCGACTCCGGAACCAGGGCCAAGAGAGATTCTTGTCCGCGTCAGAGCAGTTGCGCTCAATCATGTGGACGCGCTCTATACCTACAAGCCAATTGCGGCCCAAGAGTACCGCGTAATCGGCAGCGACTTCGCTGGGGAGGTCGCCAGTATTGGCAAAGACATCTGAGATATCGATGACCCTCGTGTCAAGGTTGGAGCACGTGTAGCTGGCTTCGTGCAAGGCGGTCGGTTGAACAGCCCACGGCTTTTGAACATACCAGTGATGTACTGACTACGGATATGTAGCTTGTTCGGTCAACTACCGCCCAGGAGCTTTTGCCGAGTACGTCGTCATTGACTATGACCTCACATGGAATATTCCCATCGGGGTGTTGTTCCAAGAAGCTGCTACTATCAGTTTGTGTGGACTTACAGCCGCGCAGGGTGTCTTCAGCCGACTCGAGCTCCCGGGGCCATTCACCCAATCCCGAAATTTCGACCACCTCAGACTCGCCAACGAAGGGCCCGTGAACGTCTTCATATACGGCGCAACAACCTCATTAGGTCTCTTCGCCGCACAACTTGTGCGTCTGGCTGAGAAGACTTCTGGCACGAGAATTCGTCTCATCGGTGCCGCCAGCAGTGCAAAGCACGACATGCTGCGCCAAGCCCCTTATTTGTACGACGAGCTAGTTGACTACAGAGACGCTGACTGGCAAGAATCGGTACGCAAAGTCTGCGGCATAAGTGGCGGAGTCCATTACGGCATAGACGCGGTCTCGCAGTCTCCGTCCGTCGAACGTGTGCATGATACGTTGGTCAACGAGGGAAAGCTGGCGGTGTTCCGAGCACCGGCCCTCGCAGGGTTTGATCCATCGAAGCTCAGTATCAAGCCGGTGACAGGTGCAGTCTGGGAGGGTCTTGGCGTAGAGATCCAGTACCAAGGTGAGTGACCTCAGGCTTTTTGCTAACTGATCCGTGATGGGCCTCCTTGGTTGACAATCTATAGGCATCGCATTCCCAGCCAACCTCGAAGCCCGTGAGTTTGCAACACAGTTCTATAACTATCTCGGATCGGAAGCGTCGTTGGGAAAGGTCAAGTTGCAGGCAAACCCGGTTCGCATGATGCGAGGAGGACTAGAGAACATCGCATCGGAAGGCATCCCGCTCTTTGGTCCGAAGCAAGTCAATGAGCCGCCGAAGGATCACATGCGTCCTGTTAGTGGAGAGAAGGTTGTCTATACCGTTTCTTAGGAGCTTTCTGTAAGAAATCTTCGACAGCCATGCGAGGATTCAGTGACCTTGGATTGGTTTCCATGCGGATATAGAGATACGATCTAAACTCGAATTTGATTGACCAAGTCGCGTGACTATTGTACACTCTACTCTATGGATATGAACATCTAATTGGTTTTATAATATTTACTGAGAAGTGTGAAAGAAAGTGGTCGAAATTCGACCGAGTCATCTTGAGAACCAATAACCTCTCTACGACCTCTTGGCAATAAGGTCCGCCGCTCTCTCGGCAACAGCGTACAAGGTGCTGACAAGGTGACCGCACACCTGGAAAGGCAGGACAGAGGCGTCGACAACGCGGACGTTGGCGGTACCGTAGACCTTGAGGCTGGAGTCAACAACACCGCCCTTCTCGCGGGGCATCATGGCAGCAGTGCCGACGGGGTGGAAGTTGGAACGGTAGTTGCCCTTGATGTAGCTCTCCCAGCCCGCGACATCATCGGCATCGGCAGCGACGACGTCCGTGCCGGGACGGGTCTCGGTGCCAGTGTATGTGGAGAAGGGTGCGGTGCTGTACAGCTTGCGGATGTACTTTGCAATCTCGACCTGCTCGAGCAGATCCCAGTCCAGCATGAAGTAGTTGGGGTTGATGACGGCGCGGGAGGTGGAATTGCCACCAATGTGGACGCTGCCGCGGGCAAAGGGGAGGAGTCCCCAGTACTCGCTGCTCCAGGATCCCGAGCCGGCGTTAACGAGGACCTCGGCGATGGGGATTTGGGACTCGAAGATGAGGGACCACTGCAGCTGGAAGAACTCCAGGAGGTCCGAGGCGCGGGTGACGTTGCCGTTGACAGAGGCGACCTTTGCGGCGTAGGCGGGGAGGGCCTCCTTGATCTGGGCCGCGACCTCGTCGGCGTTGTCGAAGACGTGGGCGACGGAGGGGTAGGCGACGGTGGTGAGGGTGCCGTCGATGCTCATGTTCTTCATGTCGAAGGAGAGGCCGTTGTTCATCTGGTCCTGCAGGTTCTCGCCGACGGTAGGGAGGTCGACGACGGTCTTGATGCCGTGCTGCTTCAGGATGTTGGCGCTGCCGACACCGGAGAGCTCGAGGAGCAAGGGGGAAACAAGAGCACCGGCGGAGAGGATGACCTCCTTGTTGGCCTTGACGACGCTGCTGGAGCCATCGGCGGAGACGATCTGAACACCATCGGCGGTGGGGAGAGCAGCGGTGTTCTTCCAGGTGAGCTTCTGGGCGCTGGTGTTCAGAAGGACCTTGAGGTTGGTTCGGTTCTGATAGGGGTAGTAGTAGGCGCGGGCGGCATCCTCACGGACGGCGTTGGCCTGGTCGACGGTGCGGGGGAAGACGGAGAAGCCAACCATGTTTCCGCCGTTGACGTCCTCATTCCAAGGCAGACCGAGATTCTGGAAGGTCGAGTTCAGAACGGCAGGCATGGTTCCGTTAGTCTGGCCGTAGGTCCAGCCGGTCAGGAGGGGTCCGTCTTCGCCGTGAACATCGACCTCGTACTCGAGACGGCCGGCGACCTGACGGGCGGGCTCAGGGGTCTGGAAGTGCTCGCTCTTGAGGTAGTAGGGGAAGAGAGAATCCCAGTTCCAGCCCTCGTTGCCAAGTTGCTCCCATGCGTCGATCTGGGAGGCTTCAGCGCGGGTGTAGGCCAGTCCTTCAAGTTGTTAGCATCTGAGTCCAGTCTTTTGAACCGGTGATCGCCACAAACCGTTGATAGTGCTGGTTCCTCCCAAAGCCTTGGCAGCACGCATAGTCTGGACTGAATTGCCGCCGAAAGTTTGGTTGGTCGTTTGGAAGGCGAAGTCGATGTCGGTGCCAAAGGCAAGACCGTATCCGTTGGGGTTGGTGACGTTGACGTTGTCGAAAACCGAGCCGCCGGCCTCGATGATCAGGACAGACACGGCAGGGTTTTCTGACAGACGGTTGGCGACAGCCAGACCGCTGGTACCGCCTCCGACGACGATGTAGTCGTAGCCATTGCTGGAAGCGTTGTTACAGCGAACAGCCAAGGCCGCTGCTCCAGAGAGGAGGGCAGATGTAGTGAGGAAGCCCCGCATAGCTGTATGTACAAGGTTGAAGTCTAGAGTGAGTGTAAGTGTGGCAAAAAAATGTTTACTGAAATGGTTATCAAACGAACGTCAAAGCCTCGAAGGCGAAAGCCAGCGTTTATATCATTGAACACCGAAGAAGAGAATTCAACAACATCGCAGTCAAAATCCAAGCTCCTGAAATCCCTCAGTCACGTCACCCGCGCGGATACAAACAGCTACCATCCCCGTTAAACCGGATTTTGCGATGACCCTCCGAGAGCTGACCGAAAAAGCTATGCGCTCCCTACCATTTCGTCAGTGCAATCCATACGGCCCAACTTACTCAAGACTCGGCAGGGTGGAGTACGGCGTAGCCGCAGAAGCCGAGTTACAATTGGGGCTCAGCGGTTCTGAATGCCATTGGCCGGTCGACAACCGCTGAGAGCAATGAGAGCATATCTGATCGGACCGATCCACCGGTAGTTGGCGGCGCGAGATGCTTATCAACCATCAGAAACCCAACGTTCCTGGGATCTGGAACCCGTCGCTGCGGAAATATCTGCGTAGATCGGCGGGACCCCTGCAGGGGGGCCCCTACTCATGGCTCACCAGCATAGCCCCGTAAGGCCAATGAGGGCTGAGTAGAGGGGAGAGTGCGCAACAGGGTGGCGGACGTTTGAATCATGCTCTCGCGACTGATTTGACAACTGTCGTCCAAATTTGAGGGCGGAAACCATGGAAAGCTTTGGCATAATACGTCATGCCCGAGAACGATTGCAACCTCACGCAATGGAGGCCTTCTCATGCTCAAAGTGCTATTCTGGACAGTCGCTTCGATATAGCGCTGTGCACTAAGGTACGGCGACTAAATTTTAAGCTCAGTTGCCAAGTGCATCCGCCAAGTGATGTCCATCAAGAAAGGATCTCGCAAATATGGATCTTAGCAACACTCCTGCAAGTTCTATCTGATAAAATCACGGGTTTACGGAAATACAGATAGAGAAGGTGGGCATAACCCTCAAAAAAACAAGCAACAACGGGTCTAAGCTATGGCTTTCTAAGCAATCAAGGGAATTAAGAGAATCCTAAGCCCCATGTGTGTCATGCTTGCATTTTGAGTTGTTGAATGAATAAAGGGCCGAAAACAACTTTTCGAGGTGGGTTTCTCGACTGGGTCTGGATGAGTTGCCGCTTAAGTAAGAGAACAATAAGCATCGGATGCTCCACTGACAACATCAAGATAGAACGAACCCATGTCCAAGGAAACTTCGAGCAGTGAACTTGAGACGAACATGCTTGGTTTATACCGCTGCTATTAAGCTCGGTAGATCTCGGTGGCACAATCATTCACAGCACCCCCCTTTACGAAACAATGCAGAATTTCTAGTGGACATTAATCTGCGGCTATGCCTCTGTTTCCTCCTCATCCAATTTGAGCTCCCCTCGGCTTTTCCCCCTTCCACAACTCAAACGTCAATCCAGGCAATCATGTACATTAGATAGAGAGAAGCACTTGTTAGTGTTCGCGACGTCCCTGAATATCGAAGGCGAAGCTATCCGGGAGGCCGACGGCTGGTTTTACCAAACAAGGCGACACCTTTTTTGTAAATAAGTCAGTTGCGAAAGATACATTACCCTTGACGAAAGACCAATTCTCCACAGGATTCATGGAACTCCTAAGTGAGTCAAGTTCAGCAAGCTAAAGGAGCATGAGGTGGGGTTATCGGGGAGTGGTAGGCCTCTATTACCTTGGCCTGCCTTGGGGCTAGACTGGTCCCCAAGCTCACTCATCCGCTGGAAGAGCGCATTTCTCCTTCAGAGTAAGAAACGATAGCAGTTGACGAGGGGCGCACTCAAATACAGATCCAGTTCCGTTATAGGAATGTGTCGCAACGCCACACGTGGCGCTGCCCACTTACTGCCGTACGATACCACTTACTACGAGACAACAGCCCGCTTCGTACGGTATTTAGATACGACCCCTTCAGGGTCCCTCGCTTAGAAAAACCAAGCCACTTTCTACTGTATATGTCTTCCACTTGGATCCTCGCTTTGTAATAGAATGCTCATGCCGGAATTCTCAAAGGCGACGGGGTGTCAGCGTGGAGATGCTTCTCAGACAGTCTTGCTCCCGTCTGGAGTCTGATAAAAAGATCGCCGTGGGACTGGTGAGGTGAAATGTGGTATCGATGTCAATATTCCAAGCCTGCAAACCACAGCGAGTGAGATAATCAAGACAACGAGTTGACAAGTCTTGCTTACGTTGGGTGCTATAGGTAGAACTGTCGCCACCAGTAAATACGAAACTAGATTAAATGAAGCACTCCTCTTGAACGTCAAATAATCGGCCTCCGTCGCTAGAAAGACTCAATCCTTGTCCGGAAAACCTGCAAGCTCGGTTACAATCTCGAAATTACACAGGTCCTTCACAGCTTTTGGCCTTAACATCCCTCAAACCTCACCCAAGTTTGAACCCATCCAGACCCAACCACCGACCCAACACCCTCTACTTCCTCGACGCAACCCTCTCCGCCAACTTATCAAACTCCCCCTTCTCCATCACCGTCCCCTGCCCCTTGGACTTACCCGTCATATGAACAAGATAGCTCCCAACACCGAGTCCAACAGCAGCAATAGCGACCAACGTCGGCCTAGTCCCCAAAACACGTTAACACAGGACCATGGACACACCTCCAACAACAAGAGAATTCCCTCTAGAATCTTGTCACATGAGACGGGGTGCACTCACCAGCTCTGCGCGGCACTGCTCGTAGACGGCACAGGCTCCTGCCCACCGGGTCCACCGAGGTCGCCTTCCTTGGGGTTATGCGTGCTCCACCGGACCTGGCCCTCAACCCGGCGCGCCGCGGCGAAGGGTGCCGTCGTGGCTCCGAGTCCGGAAACGGGTCGCGCGGCCGCGAGGCGGCGGAGGGGGAGAGGTCTTGCGGGGATCATTGTGGTGTTATGAGGGAGAGTGTAGGAGCTGTTTGATCCCGGTCTCTTTTGATATAGGGTTTTCTTTTTATCGACAGGATGCGTTTGCAGTGAATGATCTCAGTGTTGTGCGTCAAAATGGCTAGACCATGCGATGAAGTTGAAGTTGAAGTTTGGAGGCTGCGATGCAATTGGACGGTGACGACACCAAGACGCTTGAGCGAATCTGGGGAAAGAGCGTAAGGTGAGGGCAGGTGCGTCATAGGTGCATCACTTTCCCCAAGCACCACCTTCTCAGTATGCCTCCCTTTCCTTTTCCCCAAATTTCTACGATTGTAGAAGTCGGAAAGAACATGCGTGGAAGCTTTCCAGAACAATTCGATGAGCGAGTTGAGCGAATGAAGAGAGACTCCGGTTTGCGGGCCTGTCGTTGGATCTTCGCTCTTTACCTTGGGTGCCACGATGCGTAAGAGAGACACCGCTGTCCACCCCAGATTTTCCCGATGCGTATATCTACATCGGCCCCCTTATATAGGGAGCCCAACAGCAACGAGGGAAGGGATTTAGAAAGGTGCAGAAGGGCGATTACTATGCCTTTTGCAGTAAGACAGGAGATCTTGAGTGTTAGCAGTCCAATCGAAGAGCAATAGCCACCAACAGGACTAACACGCCCCTTCATCGCGCGACAGCTCACCAACCAGGCCCTTCACCGAAACCTAAATACATATGCGAATGCGCGAATGCAGCAAAAAGAGTACAGACCCTCTGTTCCGTTCTAGCCAACATACTAGGTATCCCATGGTAGCCTCCTAGTACCCTAGAAGAGCATGACCTATAAAAAGACCATTCAAAAACCAACACAATCCGAAAAGACCCCATCTGGATAACGCACCCTCAAGATCCGACCGAGCTCCCCCTCCGTCCTCCGAACCCACCCATCGTATTCCCGAACAATGGTCCCCTATCGCGCCTCGCACTCGCACGAGAAAATTGCACCGAGGCGCCTGCCGTACCTGAATCTCGGAGATGGCAAGGAACCAAATCCCGTTTTAGAAGATAGACAATCAATCCTCGATATGAATGCGGTGAGCAGCCTGGACCAAAACACCTCGTACTTTCTGCCAAGATGCACTCTGGCTGCGATTCTCAGTGTTGGTATCGCTGGCGTGGGGGCCACCCGGTGCCTGAAGTGCATTGCGCATTGTATCCGTACCACACTGCCAAAGCCCCCAAGTCGGTCGAGGCTGTACTTGCAGCGGTACAACAGCCCCTCCTCCGAAAGGCCCTTCCCCTGAATGATCATACTCAACAGCGTCACATCCCGTACCCGTCCTGAGGCTCTCACCAACACCCTCACACACTCAGATGTCAAACGTTTCAATGCATTCGGAACGATACATGTACGGAGGATAGGGCATTATTCCCATTAATATACCATAGAGGTAAGAACTGAGAGGTGTTGTGTGTGTAATCGATGCATTTATCGACTTGGTATCAAAGAAAATCAAAGGTTAACGCCCCATTATGCCCTTTTTTTCATGAATGCAAAAGCCATGGCCCTTTGCCTGGGCCCCATTGATGCCGCAGCCCTTCCCAATGCTATGCTTTCAAAGAAGATAACGCTTCCTCATGTCCCCATAACCCAGATCATCATGTTTCCTTATGATTTCCACCGTGCCATGAGAACCGCCGCCCTCTCCCTCTTTTACGGGTATCATTCCGCCGCCAATACCCATGAACCCCCAGGGAGTGCTGACTGGCGGAACACTAACGATGAACACGGCTGATGACTTCCCATGGGATATATATATCCATATTTGGCTCGCCGAGAGCCCGAGATCCATCGATTAAGATTTGGATAGCAGTCTGGAAAGCAATGTCGTCCGGGGCGTTCTAGGCCGACGCCGGCATGCTCCAGTACTTTGTCTTTGGGACGACTCTGACCTCGGGCGGGTTCCAGATAGCCGGAGACGCAGTGGTGCGTGTAGAAGACTGAGGCGCAGCTGATGTTGTGGATGTAGACTCAGATGAAGGGCCATAGTTAGTATCGATATTGGCGTCATTGCTGGCAGCAGCTTCGGCAGCGGCGGCAGCACGAGCATTGGCGTCCTGCTCCAAAGCTTGATCAATCTCTCCAAGAACCCACGACTTGATCTCATTGAGCGCCCGCCGCTTCTGCGTCTGCTCGCGGTGCTTTCTGCCCGACTCGCCCAGAGGCAGCGCGTTGAAGAGATGGAAGGTGACAAGGAGCGTAATCGTCTTGAGGTTGGGGAACTGCCGGAGGAGACGGACGCCCTTGTGGCAGTGGTCCTGCACCCAGCAGGGGCGGAGGCCCCATTCCATGGCGAGATGGCGGAGGTTGATGAAGGAGAGAGCACTGGGCATGATTGACTGAGCCGGTCCTGTGAATGTGTTAGTCTTTGAAGATTTCCCTCTTTGTTTGGAAAGTGAGATAACTGGGTGAAAGGCAAAACTCACCTCTATAGATCAAGAGTGTATCATGGCGATAATTCATGTACACACCCTTGCCTTGCGCCTGGTGTCCTCTGGAGAGATGCAGCATCTCAAACTGCTCGTCTCTCAGACCATGCGGGTTCTCAGGATCATAGAGCATCTCGGCGCGAGATTCCTGGCAGACCTGCAGGAGTGCTGGGACAGGGCGGTGAAGTCCATAGGCCAAGGTCGTGCTATTGGATATACGCTCCACGACAGTGGGCTTGGGTGCCGCGAGACGCCATATCTTTATGCGGATCTCGGGCGGAAGGTCCTTGAAGAGGTGGAATGTGCGTGGCTTCACTTCTTCGGAGAGGTCCAGGTCTGCTAGATCTGTGATGAGGGAAGCCGGCTGTGGTGAGGTATGTGACATGTCATACGGGTCACCCGTGCCGTTGTGCTCGACTGTGTCGTCCATTATGTAGTTGTGCCCGAAGCGCTTACGGGTGTGAATATGTGTGAATGGAAGAGGTGTGAAGAGTAGAAGCGTGAGACTTCTTTTTGTAAGAGAGAAAAAGGTGGTAGAAAGGTGGAAGGATTGGAAGAATCCGGAAAAAGTTGAAGATATAAAAAGTCCGGTCGAGGTGCGGCAACTTTTTCAAGGGGAAGGAGAGGAAAGGGCGGTGGTGGTATCACTTTCCTTTTCCTCAGGCACTTTGTGTTTTCGAGCCGAATGAGGCAACGGACGAGCGATGCAGGCCGAGCCTCAAGTCGAGGTCGAAGGTGGGATGGAAAACGGAAATGGAAGCTGCGGCAGGGGCGCGGGAAGGTTGCAGGGGGAGGGAACGACGGATATTGGATGCGTAATCTATAACTACTTGGCACCTCAGGTCGAGCTCGAGATGAGGTGAATGTTGACCTGAGGCCTATTCGGAGCTTGGAGGTGTATTGGGATGAGGTGGCCGTGGGAGTAAGGTAGTACCAGACCAAAAGCGGTGACTGCTAGAATAGTTATCTGGGCTGATGATACCATCCGTAGTGGAAGGAGAATTGTTTCGTGTCGTGCAGATAAGGCGAGTCCAGAAATCTTGGTCAAAAGAGACTGCCAGATCCAAATCTCAGTGTAAGAGAACTCAGAACTCTGGGCGAAGATGAACCGGAACAGGCCCAGCAGTGACTACCTTCTCTGCCTTACACCCGTGACCGCACGCCTCACCTCAAGGGACCTTACGGTACCTTAGAGAAGGGGAGAAAATTTCAAGGAAATGGACCGAGAGTAGTGGCGGATAACAAATATCATTTCTTGCATGAATCAACCTTTGGCTAGGTACTCTTACCACCGAGACTAAGACCCCGAGGCGAATGAGAAGCTAAAACAACAAGACGCCGAAGGACAAATGACTGCGAATGAGAAAATTTCTCGGGTTGGTCGCTGGCCGCTCGCTCGCCGCTGACCGCCGTAAAATAGCAGCAACACCGGCCACGGAACAAGTCCGCCTAGGCTAATCAGTTCAGTTTTTTTTCTCTACTAATTTTTTTCAGCGCCAAGTTGATAAACAATGCAGACAAATGGCCGCCCGGCGGTCAGTGCAACGTCGTTGGAACATCAGGTCCCGTCCTGCCAATGCAGCGTTGTCCCTAACGTTAGCCCCCCGGGACCCTCCCGAGAACGAACGTATCAACGCCCAATTGGCCCGGGAAATCTCTTCAACTACCATGAATCATGGTGCAATGAGCAAATCACTGAAACTTGAATCTGGAATCTAGCATCTGTCCTTTGCCAGTAAGATTCATCTAGTTGATCTCATTGATGATTTGTGGTATTAAAAACAAAAAGGGGGACCCATCATGGCATGTTGTGTCAGCTGTTCCTTCAACCAGACGAGAAAAAAGTCATGCCAGAAAATCAAGCGATTGCGCGCCCATTCTCCCCTATAAACGTATTTGTGGACCCTCGTGCAAGTGGCACAATGTCTGACGTCGGAACAGCCTCATTCACCACCCTGGGCCCTGGCTTGATTTCATGCCCGACCACACATGTCTTTTGCTATTCCCCAATTGACATGCACTGCCGAATCCAGTGAGACAAGGGAGTCCCCGACCGTTCTATCCTGTGGCTGACGCCTGTAATGTAGATCGCTCCCAAGTGAATCACAATCTTCTCGAATCAAAAAGGGAAGAGAATAAAAGTCGTGTCGCGCCGCGCTGAGCGTCGTTAATCAACGCCCCCGTCCGGCCAACCCCCGGGCCCGAACCCGTGTAACCTAAGCGCCCGTTCCCGGATTGTATCGTGGACGACGGGACAACCCCTCCTTGCAAGATATCGTACCAGAACCCTCTCCAGTCGCGGGGCCCCCACGCTCGACATATGCCACTACCCAGATGCTGCACAGCAATAGCATCTTGATGGTCTCCTCTCATCCAACCTTGATCTTGCGACACCAATCCCGCCCATGCGCAACCTGCCAGTTGCAAAGTTGCACCTCCATGACGATGCCGACGAACCCGGCAATGCAGATACCCCCGCTGTCACTCACACTTGTCGCACTCAAGCTGAATTCCCTGTCCTCGCTCGGTACCTTTTCCATGACCTCCGCAAAGGTGTTGACGTATACCGCGCCGCCCAGCAGTCCCTCCCAGAACACAATCAAAAACACCACGTACACCGACGGGATGAAGTCAAATAGCGCGTGGCACGTCAGGAGCACGAGGTTGGCGATTTGCAACAGCGATGGTAGATAGAGGCGGTGGATCCGATAGAACGGCGTCGAAGACCGCGAAATAAAGACGCCCAGCTGGTACAGGAATCCGTACATGGGATAAAACTCGCGGAACTCCTTGAACGGTGATGACGCCAGCGGAAAGAGCAGTGTCGGCGCAACGCCCTGGTTGATGGTATACTCGGCAATGTATACCAGTAAAAGCGGCAGCATATACGGAAAGAAAAGCGACTTTGCCCTCTTCAAGTTGTGTTGGAAGCTGTGCGCATCAGTGTGCTGTACCGAATACGCCGTCGAAGTGGTCGCGGGTCCCGGCGCAAGCAGAGCCGACGACGCGGCGTTCTGCGACAGCTCCTCAACGTCCTCCTCTTCCAGATCCTGCTCCGGAACAACCGTGTACTCTTTCCGCCCCGCCTTGAGCGGCCCCTTTGGCAATATGACGAAGAAGCTCACGAACATGATGGATGGCAAGCAAGCAGAGAACAACAGGCTGTTCCGCACGCTGAAGCCCCACCAGTCTGTGAGCACCACGTATAGACCCGCCCCGACCAGACCCGCCGCACCCGTCCCGCTGCCCCAGCCCGCGAGGCTCATGGGGCCGTAGTAGTGCGTCAGTCCGAGGAAGCTGAGCTCGCCGCCACCGGAGCTGAGGCTGGCGATGACGACGCCGACCATCTTCACGGCGACGGATTTCGTAGGCGGCGTGAGGGCGACGAGGAGCATGCCCGAGCAAGACAGGGCGATGAGGACCAGTACGCGAAGGGAGTAGGGCACGCGATGGATGAAGTAGGGGGCGATCAGTTTCGTGAAGAATGAGGGGAGGACATCGGCGAGGAGGACCACGCCTTTGGGGACCGACGAGCCGACGAGGTCTTGGGCGGCGGAGAGGATGATTACGTAGAGGACATTGTTGATTAGGCCTATCCCACATGTCAGCATAAAGACAAACCTAGCGCAAAGATGTCAAGAAAGCGCACCCAGTAGCCAAAAGGCCACGATCACCTGAGTATCAGCATTTCGGAAGAGAGCAGATAAGCGGGCGCGGTACATTGCCCAAGACGAAGATGGCGATCCAGGCATGGGAAGAAGGCCGGAAGACGAAGGCGATCGGCCGGTCATAGTTCCCTCGCACAGCGCTGTTATTGAATCCAGAAAGAAGACGGCATCGAGAGACGGGAGAGGCGGTCAAATCGTCTTATCGCGAGCGGTCGTTCTTTGGAAAGGTTTAGGTTTGAGGCGTTGGCATCCGATGGTTTCGATTGTCGGACGTCGGTCACAAGAAAACCGCTGTCTCAGTGCCTCAGCGCAGCACTCGACCGGGGTATGTCGCCCACGTGCCGTGCAGCCAACCACGTTCTCGGGATAAGGTAGTCGGAGGGAATGAGACCCACATAAGCTACTGGACTGGGAACCCCCGTCTCAGACACGCGACTCGGGCACTGCGCTGTGACGTCGTCGCGTTAAGCACCTTAGGTAATTACACGGCTCACCTGAGAGAAACAGCACCTGAAGAATTTCGGTCACGATCTCATGGGTACATGTGCAAGACGAGGTGATGTAACGACATGTTTTTTTTTCTTTCGATTGTTCTAGCCTCTATTCTGAGGTTTAAATCGGGTATCTCCTATATCATCCATCATGAGCACAACATCGGCTCTACCACATGTAAGCACTGTAATGCGATCCACCATCGCTTCTTCACTTCAACTATATTGTTGTATAGTGATGTACTTATTTCCCAAGACTTCTCGTAGAAAGGAACCCACGCATTTCATCACAAGGCTGGCCCTTCCCAGGCGTCCCTATTCAACTTCATCAGATAGGACTGCTTGTGAGAGAACGCAACCTCGCGTTCTTTGGCAAAGCCCGCGTATTGAAGATGCTGCAAGAATCTGTGACCCCAGAGTTAGCCCGCTATGTTCGTCCTCGATATTCTTGAAGTGTCTTACCTCGCGTTGTCTATCCGTGGCTCCAAACAAACATGCATCGTACGATAGTCGTCAGTCAGGCACCAGTGCACCAAACTGGTCAGCCACGCCGGCACCCGTCCCCGCGCCCACTCCTCGCCGACAAAGACGTGGATGCCACGGTCATAGTCCCCAGCATCGTTCCCCAGCTTCTGGCCCAGGATATCTTCCTTGACCCAGTAAATCTCGAAATATCCAAACGGCACTCCGTCCCACATGCCAATCACCGGGAACGAGTGCTTGGAGCTCAGCGCATTGCTCAAAAAGTCTGGCGAGTAATTTCCCCAGAACTTCTGTACTCGCGGGTTCGACAGCCACGACTGCAGCAGCTCTGTGTCGGAGAGGTGGGCGAGGTGGCCATTATCAACAGGCTTGGGGCCTAGGGGTCCAAGGTATGGGACAGGCTCTGGTGTAAGTGACGCTACCCTAAATGACAGATATTGCCCAACGCTCGGCACATAGCGCGAGTAAAAGACTTCGCCCATCCGGCCTGGTTTCCTGCGGATGGGGTGGCGCACGCCGTTGGTGACCGTATACATCAAAGGCGCTGGCGGGTAGTACGTTGGGAGATGTGAACTGGAATAGAACGGTCCGATGGGGAAGTTCAATGTCGTGACCATCGTCATCGGCGGTGGTCCTCCGGGGAGGTCGACATCGAAACGGCCCCCCGTGGATTGGTGCGGAGAGTGTATGGGCGTATGATGCCTTGAGTGAATCGACTCCGTTCGAGCAGGTGAAGTCGGCCTGCTCCCGTTTGGCGATTCGGGGTTCGTTGTCGATGCGGCACTAGTACGCTGCAGGGTGAACAAGAAGAGCCGGCCCGGGATCTGCCAAAACATGCGCCGCGAGACGAACATCTGCGACCATTCCTCGCCGTTATCCTTGAGGTTCGTCCCAACCGCAGAGTCCAGCGATGCAATAAGTCCCATGCGCTCAAGCTTTGGTATGAGGTTTCTGCCCCGCAATACCCCGTCTCGCTTGATATTGATGCGCCACTCACCCTTCGGCCGCGCTTCTTCCGGCGTTAGCCTCGATGCATCGGTCGTGAGGTAAGGTGACGGTTGTGGTTGATGGAAGTACCAGTAGAGCGTCACCCAGAGCATCATGGCGATCTGGCGTGTTGGGCTCGCGGCGGGCTTGAACTCGGTGCTCGAAGGCTGTGATATCGACGAAATGAAGAGGTTATCGCCCTGTAGTGTGGGTTGTTTGAAGCTGTGTATGTACCGCCGGCGGGTGCAGTCTTCCTCGCCCTGCTCACCGTCGACACCATCCACCTCGAGTTGTGCATCCTCGGTATTGAGCACGATCGTCCAGCCGATGGGGAAAGGGTTGTTGTGAGTGTTGAGCTCGTGGGACTTGAAAAAGAGGCCTGCAAAGACTGGCGTGACTGTAAACTTCTGTCCGTCTGGGAGGTGGATGATTTGGGGGGCCATGGCGGCGGGGTGGAGCTGCACCGCTTCTATCCGTACGGATACACCTTGGTAGCCCAAGCTCTAGCTTCTGGTGGAGGGGGACGAGACGGAGGGCGAGCACGCAAGGCAAGGTAGGGTACCTAAGGACCCGGCGAGGTAGGACAGACTGACAAGAGAGGAAGGCGTCTTTCTTGTCCAATCGGGGGTTGGGTCGTGGCCGTTTGGGATACGCCTGGAAGAGGAGAATGGCGGGGTCGATCAGCTTCTCAGAGTGATATCGAGCGGTCGTTCTTTTGTACTCGATCGTCGGACGAGGCCTTGATGTCCCCCGGTTGATGGAGAGGTATCGTCAGATCTGGGGATGGATTCTAGTGTCCCTTCTCGAAGGTCAACGCAGCCATTCAGTGAAGGGCCATATGGAAGGTTGCGAGATTCTGACAAACAGAGACCTGTTGGTTGGGTGGTGGTGTGATGATGCGTTAACCAAGTGGGGTGAAGCTCTCCCGTTGGCGTCGGCGGCGGGGATGGTGGTGTTGGGCAGTTTGGTGTCTGGGCGCCTAGGGGTCAGAGCTCCCCTCCCTTTCAAGGCCTTCCTCGCTCCCATGGCCTTGCACGCCTTGTGGAATTGGCATGTGGTGGGCCGTAGCGGTTGAAAGCGGAGCATCTCGGTGAAGCCGATCCGTCCCGTCTCGGCAGGTCTTACCGGAACACACCGAGTCTGGTGGTCGGTCACCCGATGGAGCTCGATAGCATGAGAAAATCTTTTCCCCAACAACTGGTGATCGGTGCCCGCGATTTGACTCTGGAGAAATACCACCTCGCCACATGACAAGTCTCCCGACAACAGACAGATCTTTGCGGACGGCATGCTATCTCCAGCGTTCTGTGTCTTTGATAGAATAGTCAGCCATCATCAGAACATCCACAGGGTTAGAGCAAAACGAGGACAAGGCTACTTGAGGGTCCTCCGAAACGTGTTTGTTTTAATCATGCTAGAATGTGGCTATTATATTCATACAGGGGTATCGCACCTGAAAAAGGTTTCTAGGAACTTGCTATGACGCTGACTTATTTTCGCTCCCATCGTCAGACTTTTCCTTCTTCTTGTCTTCTTTGCGTTTATGCTCTGATCGCTCTTCTTCGGCGTCGTCTTCGTCTTCGTCGCTCCGACGTCTACCCTTCTTCTCTTTGTCTAGAACTTCCATGACTTCCTCGCCGCCAAGATCCTTTGTTTCGTCCCAGTCAACATCGTACTCGGTCGCCACGAACCGAACCTCGCGACGCAACGAGTTGGCCTCGTGAACGAGCGCCTCCCAAGCCGAGGGATCGAAGCCCCGCTCCTGATACAGTGCCTGCTGTCGCTTTGAGACGGTAATGTTCAAGGCCGCTTTATAGCTGAGGTCTTTGCTGATATACAGGAACCACAGGTAACCGCCCATGATGGTTGTTAAGCCAGCCAGGTAGGTTACTGGCTCGACGAGATCCCAGCCGGCATCGGTGTGGAAGGTAACATAGTATACGACTCCCCACCAACCGGCGAGGAGGCTGAACCCTCCCTGTGCCATGCGATGTGCTCCACGGTGCGCAAGGGTGTCGCATTCTTGCTTGAGTTTCGCCAACTCCTCGACGCGGCGAGACATTCTTCGCAATCGAACGCGCATGTAGTATGTGCGGTCATTGAAGCTCGGCACAGCTACCCGCAACTCTTCTTTGTAACCCTCGATACCAATGGCGAACTCTCGGCCGCGCGCAGCGTCTCGGATAAAGTCGCCAACCTCGGTACTGCTACTCCATCTGACCCAATTCGTCTCATCGCGGTCCTTCTTTGGGCCCTTGTGGCCTAGACCCGAGTAAGAGGCGACGTTGCCCTCCTTCTTCTGCGATGCGCTCTTATCCTGGTTCTCATCTTTGTGGTCTCCCTCTGCTCGGAAGTATATCTTTGGGATTCGCTCTCGGCGACCATCGTCGATGGGCGGGATTTCAGCCTGGAGCAGTCTTTCGAGGTAGGACAACGGCTGTTGAGGGTGAACAAGCAGGGCAAGCGGGGCGATTGAATCCCTGTCATCGTCCTTATTATCTTTGGAAGACTGTATGTTCCGCGCTTGTTCGGCGTGGAAGGGCAACGGTAGGATGAGCTTCAAGAGCCTCGTTGGTGTCGTGAGTAGTCGTCCTGGCTAACAGTAAGTAATCATGCAATGCACGTGTGCTCGGGCGCAGGTGACATTAGAGCTGGCATACCTCGAGTCTTATCGCCGTTTGTAGGATCTTTGCACAACTCTCGCTGCTCAGTCTCATCTCCGGCGCGGTGCCATGGCCTTTCCTCTTGCTTTCTCAAAGCAATCTGCTCGTCACGCTCCAGCTTCTCCCTTTCTTCCTCCTTTGTTATGTCATCTTGGCTGATCTTCTTAGCCTTGGCGTCGTCGAGGTCACTTTGCCGTCTCGTGGAGAGCCCAAACGCCCGTCTGTTCACCGGGATCTGTCTTGTGACAATGCCGGGCCCGGCTGGGCGGAAAGCTTGACGCAACGGACCATGCTTAGGTCCGAAGCTGGTAGGGAGTTGCAGGCATACGCGACGGAACGCGTAGCTCATTTTCGACGTCTGTTTCTGGTTTGTGGTGTTTAATGTGCGCTCAACTATGGGAAAGGAAGCATTTCTATTAAGGAATCTAGGGAATAAGAACAATAAACAGCACTGACAACAGAAGAAAGAGCTCTCTGCCGGGCCAAGTATCGCACCTTC